CACCCAACCGCTAAGCCACGGGGCCGGCCCAAGAAATACTAAATTCTTAAAATTTCAGTTTGAATCTAGCATTAAAATGCAAGATCAGGCATCCAGAACATAAAAAGAATGGGAAAATAAAATTAAATGTTATCATACACCTATTGTGTTATCTGATTAAATATTTTGGCTTGGTCAATGTCAGATGACCCAATACAAGAATAGACTGCATTTTTACTTCTGAATAAATATCCAAAACCGTTCAGAAAGGCAAAAACAAGTTCTCTTCCCCCTCATTTTCTCTAAAACCAATTTTTCTATATGTAACTTGCCTTTTTTTTTTAAGCTTAATCACCTCACTTTCCACTTCCCATGAAATTATTTTCTAAGAAATTTACCCCTAAGTAATAATGGAAAGATTTATACTTTTTCTCCCTTCTCCCAATATTATTCTGGTTTATATATCTCTGGGAAAAATAAGTTTGACAGATGGACTTTATAATGATTTTCTCATTTAAAAATATACTCTAGGGCCAGCCCTGTGGCTTAGTGGTTAAGTGCGCACACTCCACTACTGGCAGCCCAGGTTTGGATCCCGGGCGCACACCGATGCACCGCTTCTCCGGCCATGCTGAAGCTACATCCCACATACAGCAACTAGAAAGATGTGCAACTATGACGTACAACTATCTACTGGGGCTTTGGGGAAAAAAAAAAGGAGGAGGATTGGCAATAGATGTTAGCTCAGTGCCAGTCTTCCTCAGCAAAAAGAGGAGGATTAGCACAAATGTTAGCTCAGGACTGATCTTCCTCACCAAAAAAAAAAAAACAAAAAACCTCTACTAAGAACTATCTTCCTTACTGTCTTTTAGTTAAAAGTTTCTCTCCAAGATTTTCCCTTGAAAAAAAACACTTTCCAACTACTCTATAATATTTCATCTTACCTTGAAGATGGAGAAACATTTACACAATAACTGTATAATTATAGATCAATCAGGAATCTGACTTCAGAGAAGTTCAGCAAACCATAAGACCAAAAACAGCAACTTAAGACAAAAATTGGTTTGAAAGAATTTCCGGTATTTTAATCTATTTCTCGGTAAAAGCCATGTGGATTCCATTCACCTTAAGACATGTGTAAAGGGGCACTTACATTCTCATGTTCACCTACTGGAATACCTAGTCATTATTCTATCAAAATAAAATAAAATAAATCCTAATATAGCATAATTTCTATGACAGTCAAATGTTCCAGGAAGGGTTATTTAAATACAAAAAAACCTAATCATCTGCTAAAGACCGCTATTCAGTTTTCACTAGTGTTATCTGAAAGACATGTCACTTAACCCTATATTCTTTTAGACAAGAGTTTCTCAACCTGGGCACCAGTGACATTTTTCGGGCTGGATAATTCTTTGTTATGGGGGGCTGTCCTATGCAACACAGGACGTTCAGCAACAGCCTTAGCCTCTACCAACTAGACACAAGTAGCACTCACCCAGAGGTGACAAGTAGAAAGGTCTCCAGACATTGCTAAATGTCCTGTGGGGGAAATTCACCCCTTGCTCAGAATCATTGCTTTAGAGTATATCATATTTCCTACCTTTTTCACTCAACAGTTAATCAATTCTTATGTATCCACTAAAATTCTGAAGGAAGTACAGAGACTAATGAAAAAAATTATTTTTAATTAAAGAAGGCTTAACTTAAGGCATCATACTGACATCTACTGGCTTGGTACTAAACTGTACATTTGACATATACTGCATTTTTAAAAAACTCCTCAAAATTAAAAGTAATATAGGTGCTATTCTGGGAAACTCGAACAATTCATGAGTTGAATAGTAACATTAACATCAGAACTATAAGTTTTATGTAAAGCCTAACATATACAATAATAACGGTAATTGTCTATTTCTTCGTTTTTGATGTATTGTCTTTTGGATGAATTGAATTTTTAATGAATGCTTTTAGAGACTCATAATTAGAGGGTTTTTTTTTTTTTTTACGACAAGAAAAAAATGTCTGGTTCAAAAAACTTGCAAAAATTAAGCAGCATGCTATTTTATGATTTATACTGAAATTTTAAGACAAAAATTTTTTTAAACCTAAAAATGATAATCCTATAAATAAAATTACAATTTTCTAGATATTTTAATAAAAGACCTTTGGTAATTAAATACTACTGTCAATTAAGTTGATGAACTTTATTGGGGTTAAAACTATAACAAAGTTCATCCTAAAACATTTTGCAATGCAAAATTATTTCACTCAAGGAGTGTTTAATAATTTGAATGCCAGGAATTACAAGCAATTTTCAAAAGCAGAGACTCGCACATTCATAAAACTTTATACATCATTTGAACTAACAGATATTTATACTACTAAAATCAAACATGCATCACTTTCAAACATTCTTGTATCATGATTTTATATATTACATTATTTAACACCAATCCTCATCACTACACATATTTTATCATACACTTGTACCAATTTCCTTGCATTTCTGATCTTTATCTTCATTCTTCACATTATCCTATAAAACAACAGACAAGGAAAAAGTATATTTTATTAGACTCTCTTAAATTTAACTTTAAAAGTAAAAAACATTGCAGATATATTACAGATAGGCCATTTTACCATCTATGGAAAATTGACCCTGGGGCAACTATGAAAGAAATCCATCTCTCAACTCTATGCAGAATGGCTTAAAGAATTTGAAAAGCCATCTGAGTCCTGAGAAATTAAAAAAATAACAGTAGTATATTCTTTGCACTGTCGTAGATTTTTTAATTCTTGTTCTTTGAGTGAGACCCAGGATGTGGAAGATCTCTCAATTATTGAAATTAGTTTACAATGGCATTGAGTTACTAGATTGTTTTTTAGTGACAAAGAATACTAATAAATTAATTTTGATAGTGCCAAAGGTTTCTCAACTCTGCCCACAATAAATGGGTTTAAAAAAGAAGTGAATGGTTTTATCTTCCCCAAGTTCAAACTCACTCTCTGGTTCTGAAAGAAACAAATAAAACTTGCTTTAAGAATTCTGTACACTGGGCCGGCTCCGTGGCTTAGCGGTTAAGTGCGCGCGCTCTGATGCTGGCGGCCCGGGTTCGGATCCCGGGAGCACCCCGAGGCACCACTTCTCCGTCCAACGTGAGGCC